TAACTTAAACCTTAAGCCTTTAGCAAGTTAAAGAGGACAAAAAAAGCAAAACACATATAGATCAGGTTTTACAATCATTGAAATTATATATGTATGTTGTATGCAAATAACATATAAATAACTTGATGTTTATGCAATTCATTATTATTTAAAAATAGAATTTTATAACTTTGACAGTTTGAGACATTTAAAATAAATATTGTGTTGTTGCGTTGCAAAATATTTTCATTCTGAGCCAATAGTGACTGTGTTCTTTAAATCTTGAATTATTGTTACAGTTGATGGACACAGTATGTAATCAATTATATAATTTTTACCGATCACGGGAAATAGAACTACAAAGGTTCACTCTGCAATTTCTACCAACGCTGATATATATTTATCTAAATTCTGCCGCACATGGTGATATTAAGGTGAGATCATGCCTTTATTAAATAAAAAATAGAAGTATATCATTAATAATAACATGTTATCAGCTTGCTTATAAACCATGTTATTTACCTATCATTCTTTATACTATCATGATATATAATTGATGCTTATGAGAAGTTACATAATATGAAAGACATGTAATTTATAGGACAAATGATTCTAATACCTTGTATTACTTGGCTGTAGTACAGTGAAGAGTGAAGGAGTTACCTGATCAGATCAATTGATTTTTTTATTTTATTATAATTTTTATAAAAATAACTTTCTAGATGCAATAAATAGTAGTAGTTTAACATCATATCTATTAATAATATTTAATTTCCAACAGAGTTGTCGTTCTCTTGAAACCTTATTGATTGGATTGTACAATTTAGAAGTGGTGGATAAATCAGGTCAACAAAAAGCAATCTCATTTAGATTACCATCTCTTGCTATGTTATCCATATTCCATCAGGTATGTTGACACATATTTATATTTGGTACATAAAGTCTAGAAAAAAAAAATAGAAATCAGAAATTGGTTTTTAGAAAAGAGAAATTACAACAGAAATTTTTGCGTAATTTAAATCATCATTTTTGCATAATTTAAATCAACTTTTTCTCAAAGATAGGAACAGCAGTCTTGTTGAGAATTTCTTAATTTTATAAACTATGCACTTTATATACAAGTTCTTGGATTAATTATCTATGATTTCATAGCAATATTTCTTTTAAACAGCCTGAGACTTTAGCACCAGCATCGTTAACAGTAAGCGCGGTGCGACGTTTCGAAGAGTGCAATACGAAACTTGTGAGCTGGGGTCCATTGCAGCAAGTTGAGACATTAAATGCACAAAATCGATTGAAAGTAATGACAGCTCTGCTTTTCATCTACAATCAGCAACTCGGTTATATAAATAAATTTGCTATGGAACAGTTGTGTAAAGTTGCAACAAAGTAAGTTTGAGCATGATTATTAGTTACATGTATCCAATCTTGATCCGCACAATTCTGTTTCTGCAGACTTGTCACTCAAGGATTTATGAAACCAGGACATCATCAGCGTTCTTCATACGGCAGTGAGTCTAGTTTTGTTCCAAGACTTTTGCCACGCATACCAGTGTCCAGTCAGTTTCTCTTGGAATTCTCACATGCTGTATATTTTGCCATGTATGTAGCATGCATTTTGCATTATCACAAATTTGATGAAACCTTTTAGTTTCTAGTCTAACAGAACATTTTACTACATATCTTAAATAATCTTTTACTTTGATGAAATTTAACATTAACTAATTTATTAGATCGTTGCGCTTTTACAAAGAAATATATTGCACAATGGGATATTATTGTTTGCAGGTATAACGAATGCTGGTACGTGGCAAATCAAGCCATAGAAGATATTCATAATAGAGCATGTTATGAAGCATATCCAAGTGTAATGTTAGTTACTAACGCAATACGCAATTCTGCCAGTTCTGGAGCACCAGGTAATTACCTTAATGACACGACATATTGTGTGTTATCTGTTCAAGTGTTAGAGAAATCTATACCAGACTTTGCTACATGTAAAAATAGATATTTTACAGTCTATTTTAATATTTTTCTCAGGTCAAGGAAGTGATGGACCAATTGGAATTAGCGTTGCACTGTCCCCAGCAACTACTACACCAACCGTTTCAAAGTCTATGATCACAAATGCTTCTTTCCGTACTAAGAAATTACCAGGTATGTTCATATATTTTGTATATCTTTACTATAAAATGTTAATCTGGTGTCTACGACGTCTAGATAAATTTAACGATAACAAAGGAATGTATTAAATTTTAAAAGTACATCACTTTAATATTACATGCATCAAATAACTAATTTAAAATTATTTGTAAATATATAAGATAAAAAATGTCTAACCTACTCATTCTTATTAAATCTTCCTTTGGTATTTTTCAAAAAGTTTGTCTAGTTTCTTTGACTATGCTCAAAATTTACTTGTACAACTGAAATTATTAATGTATTTTACGCAAATTTTGTACATTGGCGAATATCTTTGGTGACCAATAAAGGTGCTAATCACTAACAGTAATAACATCACAGCTACGTTCCATTAAAATTAGCTAACACGCATAAATGAGATCTTAATGATGTGTTTGAATATTAGCTACCTTACACAATCCTAATATATACAACAGGCATAACTAATACACAAGCGGATATGCATGGACATGAATGTGTCAAGTATCTTTAGGCCCAAGCTTGCATGTGGTATCCCTCTAAGTTTTATGAGATTATTGCTGAATTAAAAACGTTTCTTTTTTCCCCATGAGTGAATAGTTGTTCGTTGATAAGCAAATATTGATACAATAATTGCCCACATCTCTGTGAGAACCATGGACAATGTACTATTTACATTTTCTCACGTTTGTATTGTGTGATCCCCCTACTGATAAGTCGCAAATCGTATTATACGTTTACATACGTTTACATTATAGACACATACAAAATATTGATCCACGAATTCATACATTACGAAGTGTATGAGATCTTAACATACGTATATAATAAGTTAAAGTTATAAACAAAAAATCCAACAAATATGGATTGCGCGCCTGTGTCATTAGACGATCTGGATGAGAAGTTATTTGCGGTCGAATTGAGCAATTGTCAAGTCGAGAAGCAACAGCAACCGACAGTGTCTGGGAGCAGCAAACGTCGGCCATGGCATTGGAAGCACGCGCTTCCAAGCTCCGTTGATAAGAAGGACACGGGCGTAGGGAAGGCGCATTCTTCCTCCTCACTGGAAGGCTCCAGACGTGGGAGTGTATGCAGCAGTCATAGCTCGCCGATAAAGTCCTCTCCTAAAAGGAGCAAAGATCAGCAGTCAAAGAAAGCAACTCACGAGAATAAGGACGACGCGAGTCAGAAAGCTAGAAAAGAGAGTAGCATAAAGTGCGATTCTACCTTTGGCGACGATAGATTGGCCGCTAACGCGCATCTGTATAGCGTATTAGAGGAGCAGGCGCTGGGGGAGATCATTCGAGAGTCGGTGGAAAATTTGTATACGGAAGGCAATAGATCGATCGGTTATTGCGCTACTGCCGCGCTGTCATCAAACATATGGTATTGTCACTTCAGTTACACTGTAGGATGGCGTAAATCTCTCTCATCACGCTACAATTCTTCATCAAACTTACAATATTATGTTTTCATTCGGTGTACACTAGCACACACGCAAAGTCAGTTAAAATATGTACACATATATATATATATATATACATATTATGATATATAAGTGATTCATGTGATCGTGGATGTATTCCTTTCAGAAACACCAATCCCAGCTATAACCAGACATACGCATAAAAAACAGAGTCTAAACAGAAACGTGCATGACCGGGAAAATATGCATGTCGACACGGCACATTTATCTACCCGCACCAAAAAGTTTCAAGTACATTGCTTGACTAGAAAATGTATTTGATATTTCTTTCCCACTAATTGTGTATCTCCTTTTGTATTTCTTTTTTGCTATCCTCGTTTGAATGTTATCTTTACTTGCAGTCTTCCTTTTCTTTCGTTGTATTACACTTTTCTTTTTGCACTTGTATTATTCTATCAGAGATATGTTTAGTATTATTTATATAATGTTGTTTATGTTCTATGTGTTTATCAAATGGCTGAGGAGAGCCCGCTCCTATTAAATGCAATATATCTACAATGTAATTATAGATAAAAATATTCGCGATCAATAGAAAATAAACACGCCGGTAATATTAATAATATTAATATTGTGATCAAATATTTTCACTGAGAACTAAGATATATTTCTCTCTATATTGCCATATATGGAATGTGTAATTAATTAGCTATTTAAATATTTAATTTGATCCCCTTTATATATCTTATCAATACATAGATTGTGAAACAAATTATCTCTATATAGCATATCACACGCGTAATTTAAACGAATCATTGTATAGAATGTATCGATATGTATGTTTCTCCTTGCCTCTATCTGAGATGCTTATCAAGTTTTAATATCGCTTTTATTATTGCCAAGTCCAATTTGACGGTAAAAAGCTTCCTTCTCTGCGGAGGACAATATTGTATAAGAAACTTTCGTTTGCCTTCAGATGACATACCAATACAAGTTGTAAAAGATGAAACCACTGGAGAAGGTAAAAGTAACCTGGTATCGATCACGGAGGAACAAGAATCAACGGAGCCGAATCGCGTTGGTTCCATGAGACAATCAAAGGATCAAAAGACTGCTTCGAAGATTACCAATTTCCCAGTACTCGGCAAGAAACCTAAAGAGAAAGAGAGCAAGGTAACGAAGAACGCTCACGTGACGTCCGAGAAGGAGAAGAAGCTCGGCTCTCAAACGACGTCGAGGGAGAACATCAAGGGCAGCCTGTCGATGCTGAACAATGACCAGACGGACGTCGACGGAAATGTCAACGGATGCGCGATCCGAAAGAAGAATAACAGTGTGGAGAACAACGCGATCATAATAGATCCGAACGTTGCGTTGATAGACAACGAGAGACTGGGGTCGTTAGGCGGTGATGTTAACGACGGTGGTAATATCGAAAACTCCATGAATCTGAGAGCGCATAATGAGACGGAGTCTATGGGTGCTTCGATTCAAGTTAGCTCGGTTTAACGAGGACAGACGTCTATCCGACAGCAGAAACGTTACCAACAGTAATGGGCTGAAACACAAATTAAACAGATAAGCCATTCTCTCTTCCATCTAGACCTTGTCAAATCCGTGTTTAACGTGTACATGTTGTACTTTTTTCGTAGAATCGTTTAAGATCACGCACCAACGGAGTAATTTGTCTATTATACCACTGTAATGCAATACTTTGGGTAAGAGTCGTATATATTTCTATTTTACTACACGTAGCCGTTTTCTCAGTCAGTCCATTACTTTATTGATCTCCATAGTGTTTTGAGAAAAAAAGAAAAAAAAACAAAAAGAAAAACGGGAGCGGGAACAATGAACTGAAAGTGGTGCGCGGTTGTTTTGTTAAGTGACTTGTGCATATTGGGATATGTGTGTATTGAGTAATTTTTGTAATTTAATCTATAATTTATTCGATATATATTTTATAAGTACACGCCAATACATATATATATATGTATATGTATGTATATGTATATATATATATATATATATATATATATATATATATGTATGTATGTATGTATATTTGACATTGTGTAATGTCTTGGTCCACAAGTTATCAAGTTTCACTTTTAGAGATTGTGTAGATCATTATAATGATGGAAAGAAAAAGAACAATTACATAAAAAGATTATTACATTGCAATACACGTATTGATATATACGTATGTGTTTAAACCCAGATGTGCCTCGGGATACTTGAAGCATTTTTCTTTCTCATCTCGAGTGTGTGTATGTATGTGTGTAAATAAAGTTGCGCCCAAAGATATACGTTATGGCTGCCGAGAGAGCAGCGCAAAACAAAAGGTAGGGATTAAAAGTCGAGACATTTAAAGTAGAGTCACTTAATTGTACACAGGATTGTCACTTAATTGTAAACAGGATGAGAATGCGCTACGATGAAAGTGTCAGGCATGTCTGGGTTGAATGATAGAAACTGCTATTACACTTTCTATCATAATTGTTCCGATATGATATTGACGATTCATGACGAGAGTAATCTGTTTTGCAAATAGTTATATTGATATAAATATATATGTAATTGTTGGAAATAATTACGAGACTCGAGCTCGAAGAGACTTTATTTTCACGTGAAAGTTGACTCACGTTGAAAACAGTCAACTGGTCGGGAAGTTACGCCATTTGGGCATGCAGAAGCGGGAATTGTTTAATGGAGACACGTTGCTTGATGTACTCAACTTTCCTTCGTGTTTCACTACGGATTTGCGTTTAAACTCGTCTAAAAAGTTAGACCACGTAGTTCTGTGCATCGATCTCACGAGGCCTGTCTTCGTGAGATCGATATACATGCAACTTTCTAAACTTTCATGAACTTAATACTGAACTAGTGATGTAGCCTTGATAAAAAACAATAACAAGTGAAGGTTGCGGCATTACGGAGTTTTGTATTCACTGTAATAAAACTTGTTATTTTATTACGAGTAATAAAAATTTTATTATGTGAATACAAAACTTTGTGATACGCCGTAAAAATTAATATTCGTCATATAGGAGATAAAAGCTCTACGTTTATGCGTATCTTTTTATCAAAATAAAATGATTCAAAATTGGCAAGTGTCTAGAAGAGAAATATTATAATTAAGTCTCTTTGTAATGTTTTATTGAAAAGAAATTTATATTTTCTATAATCGTGTCAAAAGATTTTGTGGCGTCTTGTGTAAGTTTCCGCTACTCTGTGTCCATTCAGTGTAGAATTGTACTCTCTGATCTATTAATATGTGTAAATATTATAAAAAGAACAATGTATAGAAGAAGGGACGAAAGAATTTGATTCAAATGTAAGAGGATCATAATATATCGACAATTGCATTTGTTAACATAGGTCGAATAAGTGTTCCAAACTATGAAATAATATATCATATGTGATGGTGAAGCGAAGCAGAATCGATGCTCGTTCAAGGGTCAGTTATTAATTGAATTACCCTATGGCCTATATTGTATTAATTGAAGTGTAACATGAAATGTAAAAATACACTGAAGTTATTGGAAAAAGCAATGATAATAACAGTAATAAAAATAAATGTTATTCTATTTATATGATCTTTTTTAAAACAATTTTTATATATCACACGTCATATACATCGATATTTCGTATATTATGTAGTTAATTCGTTTATTTTCAATCCTTGTTGCCGCGAAAATATAAAAAAATCATATAGAACTAACATTTGAAAGAATGAACTTTCCCCTTTAATTTGCATATACGTAGATTCCGATACAACCTTTTTTCATTGTGTTTTTCTGCCTTAAAGCAGAAAACATTCTATCGGGTTTGATTTCTAGAAGGCGAATAAATGAATGTACAACGTTCGCCAACAAATAAGTAGAAAATTCTGTCTTTAAAACTTCTTGTCGTTTTTTATAGAAATAATTTTTTGGTATAAAAACACCTGGAGGATAAAATTGAAAAATTGTCATTTTTTATGTAACTATATATATTTTAGCAATAAACTCTATATATTTTAGCAATAAACGCGCCAGTGATGCAAACGAGGTCGCGCGTCTACAACGACACGATCTGTATGGCGGACGCTTTAACCACTTACTCGAGTTACTAACCTCTCTAGACCAATCGCGTTCGTTTCGCACTACGAGATTGTCATCGTGATTATTCAATCTAGACGTTGGTAATGAATCGCGCGAAATGCTCGATCTTTTCGCGCCAAGCAGCAACCATGGACATACATCGATCCGCATCGCTTCGCGTTTCTCGCGTCTTTTATCCATCAAAAGTGCATCTCGCGCGTTAATAAGTCTCGGGAGTGTCGAGAATAGTGATGTGCGATCGCCGGGGCGTATCGTGAAGACGTCACTTGTAAGTAATCTTCTCGTTTCTATTCGCGGTAATATGCGGCCGGTGCTTGTCGCGACGTGTCGCGCCGACGTCTCTTACATTTGCTAATAACATCGACTCGCTCAAGTAGCAATAGAATCGGACGATCGTCGGATTTATTGAACGGGAATTAGAAATGCGATGACAATCAGAGAGAAAGCGAGAGAGAGAGAGAGAGAGAGAGAGAGAGAGAGAGAGAGAGAGAG